CATTCGGAAAAATGAGAGACGTATTTAAAACAAATATACCGATCCATTTAAAAAGAAAAGCTTTTAACCAGTGAGTTCTAGCAGTCCTCACATACGGAGCAGAAACCTTAACTCTCACAAAAACATCAGCCGAAAAATTGAGAAGGACACAACGAAAGATGGAGAGATCAATGCTTGGAATAAGCTTAAGAAATAGAATAAGAAACGAGGAAGTTCGTAGACGAACCGGAGTGGAAGACATTATCGAACATATTACAAGGCAAAAATGGAGATGGGCAGGACATGTTGCAAGAATGAAATTTCGACAGTTGGACAAAAAAATTGCTTGAGTGGAGACCACGGGCTGACAAGCGAAGCCGAGGAAGACCCCCAACGCGATGGACCGACGACCACAAAAGAATCGTGACCAATTGGATAGCAGAGGCGCAGAACAGAAGCAGATGGAAAAATCTAGAGGAGGCCTATGTTCAACAATGGACAACTCAGGGCTGATTGATGATGATGATGATGATTTTTTCAACTGCATCTGTGACTCCTGCTTTTCTTCTTATTTCTAGGTTTGGTACTTTATCTCTGATGGTAATACCTAATATTGATCTTTCCATAGCACGTTGTGTAACTCTTATATAGACAGTAAGCGAGGGCCAGGCAGGAGAAGACACTCGTGTCTTCAAAATCTGCGGAAGTGGTTCGGGCTCACATCGGTCGAACTATTCAGAAGCGCTGCAAACAAGATCAGAATTACCATGTTAATAGGCAACATTAGCAACGGACAGGGCACTTGAAGAAGAAGAAAGAATTAAATATGTATCCGACGAAATTTCAATCCTTCTACAGAATGAAAAGAGAAACTTTTAAGCTTTTATTGACAAAAATTAGTCCAATAATTTCGAAAAAGAATACAAATTTTAGACATGCAATATCACCTGCAGAACGTTTATTAATAACAATAAGGTATGTATGTATTTTTTATTATTAACTCAAATAATCATTATTCATAGCATAAAAGATATATTCCTTATTAATAACAAAAACATATATTCATTATTAATAGCAAAAAAGATATATATTAAAAGTGCTCTGGTCGCTGGAAGTTCAAATATTTTGGAAGTTCCATATTTAAATTTTTAACAAACACACATGTAAAATGCAAGTAGCACGTGGCAAAAAGTAGAACAAATCTATGACGTGGCGTAGCAAGCTGCATGACGCCACTGTCACTGTCATTTTGGTGTGCGTTTAATCATTCGTTTGCATTGGTTACATTTTAAGTAACATGCTAGACGCGTGCTACTTGCTACTTGCCACTTGCCACGCCACTTTGGTGGCGCTCCCACTTAGGAGTGAGGAAACATACAACGTCGGATTTCAGGTAATTTCAAGAACAACAGTTGTATCTGACAGATACCGCGACCTCGCAGATCGAACCTATATTTTTTCGTGTTTATTTCGTTGTGTGATCTATATTATATTCAGAATGTCGAAAAAGGTATATAAGTTGGATGATCCAAAGGATGTTGAAGAGCTTCAGAGTATGTTTCTCGATTCTGACGATGGAAATGAAAGAAATGAGTTTGAAGACGAAAGTGGCGTGGACGAAATCGATTATGTCGAAGAGCGATCAGAAAACTCGGACAGCGAACAAGACATTTCTAGTGAGGAGAGCGAAGAGAACGTATATAAAAACGGGAGTATTTTTTCGGAAAAGACAAAGTAACAAAGTAGGGAAAAAAGCCAGTTTACGGAAATAAAATTAGGCGACAGAAACAAAATATTCTGTGTCAATTGCCTCTAGTAAGGAATACTGCAAAAAATGCAAAAACTGAATATGAATGCTGGAGCTGTTTCGTGTCAGAAGAACTTTTAGATTTAATTTTACATTATACAAATAAATATATAGACTTTATTTCAAGTAGATATTCCAGAGAAAGAGATGCTAAACAAACCGACAAAATAGAACTAAAATCATTTTGGGCCTTTTGTATTTAGCTGGCTTACACCGCAGTAATCGACTAAATTTGGAAGATTTATGGTAGTTAATATTTAGACTTAGTAAATTAGTAAAAAACCACAGAGAAAATGGACGTGGGTGGCGCCCAATGGTTTAACAAAAAATGAGATTGATTACATCCTATCCAAAGAAAAGAACATAGTACAAGACGTTACGGTCATAAACATGATTTCCGTAGGAAGTGATCACAGAATTGTTAGAGCCAAAATCAAAATTAATTAAAAAAGAGATAGATACAGAACTTAAAGAACGCAAGGAACAATACATAAACCAGCTAAAAAGAAGTGACATATCACAGCTAAAGGGTTTGAAACAAGACGAATTAAACGATAAAATAATAACAGAACTACTAGAAGCAGGCCTGAAAATTGCTAATAAACAAAAGCGAAAACAACAAAAAATTAGCGCTAAATCACAAGATATGCTAAGAAAACTACGACAACTCCTGAATGATAACAAAAGAAATACAGTGGAGTTTACCGAACTGAACAAAACCATAAGAAAACAGATAAAGGAAGATTTAAATAAATACCAAGATGATCGCATTAAGAAAATCATAGAGAAGAACAAAAGTTTAAAAACAATGAAGACAAATATAGGAAAAAGAAAACTAATCATGCTTAAAGCTGAGAACAATGAAGAAAGAGATCTAGGAGAAATAGTAAAAATCACAGAAAGATATTACACAGACCTATACAGTTCTAAAAATGACCCACCACTATCATCTAAACAGAATCTCTCGAGGAAAATACAAAATGTTGGCTCAGAGGTATTACCAGAAATAACTGAAGATGAAATCGAAAAATCCATAAACGACATGAAAAGAAATAAAGCGGCCGGTGAGGACAAAATACTGGCGGAACTGCTAAAAGAAGGAGGAGACACGATAAAAAAAATGCTAAAAATACTGTTCAACAAATGTCTGTTTGAAGGTAAAATACCTAAACAATGGAGAAATGCCAACACAATCTTAATACATAAGAAAGGAGACCGAACAGACCTAAACAACTACCGTCCTATTTCCCTTTTGTCACAACTATATAAAACCTTCACAAGAATAATAAACAACCGACTAACCTATAAACTTGATAACTACCAACCAGTGGAACAGGCCGGATTCAGGAAAGGATACAGCACAATCGACCATCTACATGCGCTTAAAATCTTAATTGAGAAAACCAATGAATACAACCTTCCGCTGTACTTAGCATTCGTAGATTATGAAAAGGCTTTCGACAGCATTGAACACTGGGCGGTTGAAGAAGCTCTGGTCAATAGTAGAATAGATTCAAGATACCGACAATTGATACATGATATTTACCAAAACGCAACCATGACCGTAATTCTGGACGACAAATTAATAACGGATAATATAAAAGTTAAACGAGGAGTCCGACAAGGCGATATAATTTCACCTAAACTGTTTACCTTGACCCTCGAAGACATAATAAAATCAACAGATTGGGAAAACAGAGGAATATGTATTAACGGAAAATACCTAAATCACCTTAGATATGCGGATGATATACTCCTGATCTCCTCGGAACGACAAGAACTGGAATTAATGCTGAATGAACTTCATGAAAAATCACTGCAAAAAGGCCTAAAAATTAACTTCAACAAAACAAAAGTAATGACAAACACGGAAGACCAAGAGGCAATAAAAATACAAACAGAAAAAATAGAACAGGTAAATGAGTATATCTATCTAGGACAAGCAATCAGAGCTAACAGAGAAAATCAAACAGCCGAAATATCGAGACGAGTAAGAATGGGATGGGCAGCGTTCGGCAAACTTTCTTACGTTCTAAAAAATCAAACAATCCCTCTATACTTACGAAGCAAGGTATATAACTCCTGTATAATACCGGTGCTCACCTACGGAGCACAGACATGGACATTTACACAGGCCAATTTGGATAGGATAAGGAAGGCACAAAGAGCGATGGAGAGACAAATGTTGGGTATATCACTTAAAGATAGAAAACGTAACCAGTGGATCAGAACCAGAACAAAGACAGTAGACGCGATAGAACAAGCAGCAAAACTGAAATGGAAATGGGCTGGACACAATGAACGTCTCCAAGACGGACGATGGAACAATGCCATCGGAAAGTGGCGTCCATACAATGCAAAGAGATCAAGAGGCAGACCACAGATGAGGTGGAAAGATGACATCAGGAAACAAGGAGGTCCCACATGGCAGAGAACAGCTCAAGATAGGGAAAGATGGAGAGAACTGGGGAGACCTATATCCAACAATGGAAGGATAGAGAATGGGTTAAAAAAAAAAAATTTAGACTTGCGATGTCAATGACGATTGAAATTTTTTCACAACTGTGTAAGATTCGATGACAAGACGACTCGATGTAATATAGACTCTGCTATTTTTTTATATTTTCAAAGTGTTTAAGTTTTCTCTCCTGCTCCTGGTACGTTTTATTTAGTTGATTTCTCGTTTATTGCTATATGCGGCGAGCTCTTTTTTTTCTGCTACAAGTTCTGTTATATGGAGAGGGATATTATGGTTTTCTTGCACAGTTATTTGGCGCTGTACTGTTGCTTCCTATCCTGTTGTTTGTAAAACTGTTGTTAAATAGTCTACTGCTTTCTCTACGTCTTCTGAACAAACTGAAAACGATCCAGTTTGTTTTTTTAGTTGTGAGTTTGGGAGGTGGTGTTTTCCATATTATGTGTGTACTTAAAGTTATTGTTATTGTGTTGTGATCTGATGTTAAATCGAATTTTGACTCTATTGCACTATGGCTGTTCCTTTTGTTACAGCCAAATCTATCAAATCTGGGATTTGGTAGGGGTCCATAGGCCAGTATGTGGTTTCTCCCGTTGTATTTAAATGGTTAACTTTTGTTATTGAAATTTAACAGATTTTAGATAATTCTGTTATCTCAACCAATCATTTGTGTGTGTGTGGGGAGGTATATCCAATCATGTACTAAATGCGATATCATTAACATTTAAATGTGATTGTCAATGTCAGAAAACTTAAATTCGTCAAAAATAATAACTTCAATATTTTCAATATGGTTCTAACGAAAAACTTAATAAACATTACTGGTATGTTCCTAACAAGAACATTCAGTAGCCAAAGAAAGTTTGACAGGATCAAAAGGCTGCAGCGGAAATTTCAAGTAGACGACGGACGTCCAGTTTGGATGAAGTCGAAAATGGATAAGTTTCTCTACCGATTTACCGTAGCAAGTCTTCTCCTTGGGCTAACGTGGGGCCTTTATACAGTTCTGTGGGAAATTTCCTACGTGAAACGATTCAGAAGCTAGATGTTGATGGTTAGTTCTAAAATTCTAGTATAAATGACAGTTTTTTTGTGTATAAATACCTTTTGCTACATTCATGTAATAAAGTTATTGAATGCATATGCTCTAATTGTATAACAAAATGAGTAAAAAAAGACTGAATAAAAAATTAAATGACAACCGTACATGAAGAAATCACATACGGTATCAGAATTTTTCTTTTATTAATTTACGCTGTAACCACAAGGGTTATTAGCGATAAAAAAATATAATACAGGTAAAGTTAGAAAAAAATATAACTTATTGTGTTTTTAATGTTCATGTTTTATCTTAGACTGCCTTTATGTTATTTGGGATAGTATGCTTTTTTCTTGCTGCTTCATATGTTTTGCACTGAGTTACTATATGCTTCACATAGTGTTACTTGACAATTTTCACACATTAGCGACACAGTTCACGTAAAGAGGTGTTTATGTGTAAAGTTACTGTGCCCTAGTCGGAAACGTGTTATTCTCACTTGGTCGTGTCTATTCGCGTGGTTGACCACGGTTTCACTAATTGTTGATTTCCTTGAGTTTATTTTGAGATGTACTCCACTTATTTTGCCACACATTTAACACTTTATATTTTATTTCTGACTTGAAGTCATCTGAAGAAACCTCATTAATAAGAATGGAGTCCTGGCTGGAGGATGCTAAGCGAACTAGTTCATCTGCTTCTTTTATTTCTGATTATATATGTGAGGCAATCGGATTATTGGTATATAAACGTTTGATAGTGTGAAGTGAGCTTAGTGAATCGGTTATTATGAGAGACGGGGACTGTTTCGACTCTTGTATGTGGATAAGTGCTTGTAATATTGCAAACAACTCTGCAGTGTATGACAAAGTAATGGGATTGAATTTAAATTTTAAGGATGTATTGGGTGTGAGGATGGCTGCACTAACACCGTCTGAAGATTTGGATGCGTCAGTGTATATCTTATAGTGATTTTATAAGTTTCCATTTCTATTAAGAATGATTGTTTGATCAGGTCTGTTATAGTCTCACTTTTTTTATATATACTAAGGTTAGTATTAATCTTGGGAATTGGTATTAACCAAGGTGGAGAAGTTAGGAAATTTGTTGGGAGAATTTCAGGAAATTCAAGATGTAGGTCATGAAGGTTTCTTCTAACTCTTTCGTAAAATGGTGGATCTAGTCTTTTTGTAGAGAAAGTGTCTTGAAATCGATCTGTGAACGTATTGGTATAAGTAGGGTGTTCTTTATTACTAGCTATTTAAGAAGCATATGAGAGAGAAAGGTATTTGCATCGTAAACTTAACGGTGGTTCTACTGTTAAGCATTGTAAACTTTCAACTGGTGTCGTTCGAAACGCACCTGTAGCTATTCGTAGAGCTGTGTTTTGAACAGTTTCTAAGGTTTTCAATACTGATAATTTGCTTGATGAATAAACTATCGCACCATAGTCGAGTTTGGATCTAACTAAAGATTTATATACATGTAATAGTGTACTTTGATCTGCTCCCCAGTTTTTGCTGGAAATAGTTTTCATAAAATTTAATCCTGCTTGGCATGATTTTTTAAGTTCTTCTGTATGTTTTTTCCAGGAGAGCTTTTGGTCGAAAACCATACCTAAAAATCTGATATTATTATGTGAAACTGAGTTATGGATTGATTATATAGCTTTAGATGTGGAATTATAATGTTATGTTTTCGTGTGAATAAAATACATTTAGTTTTTGTCAGTGAAAATTGTAATCCGATAGTCCTAGACCATGATTCTAAGTGATAGATTGTTTGTTGTAAATGTTTTTGAATAGATGTAGTTTTTTTCCTTTGGCAAGTAAAACTAAGTCATCAGCATATAATCTTCGTTTAAAAATCGGTGAGAATTGTTGAAGTACGTCGTTTATGACTATTAGAAAAATGGTTGAGCTTATAACTGATACTTGCTGTACTCCGTTCTCTTGAACTTTTTTTATCTGAGTTATTGTTATCTGATCAAACTATGAAGCGACGAGATTGAAGAAAATTTGAAATAAATTTTAACATATTGCCTCAGATATTCCAATTATGCAATTTTGTTACGATATAGAATCGCCAGACAGACTATTAGGTTATCTATAGTGGATCGATTTTGCCCAGATCCGCTTTGTTCTAGAATAAGGAGATTTTATTGTTTTAAATAAGTTCTAATCTTTTATTTACCATTTTCTCTAACACTTTAAATATAATATCGGTTAAAGATATTGGTTGATATGACTTAGGTGATGTCCGGGATTTCTCAGGTTTAAGAAGTGGTAGTATTATTGCTTCGGACCAAGTTGATGGGAAAACCTGGTTACTCCAGATAAAATTATAAAATTATGGTCGAAATAGTGGAAAAAGAGCATACTTCCTTAGATATCTTTTTGTTTTAGTGTATTTTACAGCTATATCCTATCATTTAAAACTCAAACAAATAGAAAAACTTACTAAATAGTTTAAACGCTACACCCAAATAATTTTGAGTTCATTAACGACAACATTATTTTCTTTCGCGCCCAAACAAAGTCCTTTTCGCTCCTATCTCTTTGTTTTTTCGCGAAATGTAAAGTTGTTAATATATCTTGCTGTCACGAGAACAATAGTTGTCGGAAGAATAATTTCATTTGTCTGTCACGGCGCCATTTCGCAAGACATGAATATTTTAATTAGAGATGCCGACGCTAATCATGTTAGAGCAGTCGACGGTGCTGTTTTAGCAGGGAATAAACAGGTCAACAATGTATATATATATATATATATATATATATATATATATATATATATATATATATATATATATATATAAAGGAGTACGACCGTCAAACAATTATTCAATGCAGTAAGTTTCAAAAGAAAAATTCTTTTGATCAACGAGGATATCGGTCAAAGGAGAAATAATACAAGGAAATCACAGTTCCATTCTTATATTTGAAGACGTTTCGCTTGTGGTGTTCACAAGCTTCATCAGTTCAAATCTAAAAAATATTACAATGATCGTAGGTAATATTATACAAAAACATGGAAAATTAACTTACGAATGTAGAGTGAAGAATAAAGGGTGTTAAACAAACACACCATTCCCTTTGTTAACTGTGGTCAAAACATTAAATTTTGGTAAAATTATAGCTTGAAAGTTTCTATGTAGTAGCATTCGTATTTTTCAAAGCGAAAAAGTTTGATTTACAAATGAACGACAGAATAAAAAACTACTACCAAGCTTACTAAAAAACTCGTCAACATTACACGTAAAAAACTAACTTACAACAGTCAAATGTAGAAATAAAATAACAAAGTGACTAAAACGCACTGGCACAGAGCTGAATTGTTATAACAAACAAATTTTGAACTTCACTTTAGGGCGCATTTCCATCTAACGGATTCGGACTCGAAAAACGAAAGTCAAATTGCCGGCATTTTCCTTGCAATAGAATGTGGGGAAAATTCCATCATCCCAGATACCTACGGTATCAAAAGGATTGAGCTCTGGTGGGACTCTTTCCGTGTTATCGAGTCCTAGGTGACTTGGTATGTTGGAGTATCTCCCAAAAATTTTCGTACACATCTGGACGTCGCGAGGAGTACAGCTTTCTGCATGGCCTTATAAAGATGTTCATTTAGACCCAGTTGTTTTATGTTCGCTAGGAGGTTTTTGGGAATAACACCAGTAGTAGATAGAACAATAGGTACTGTCTGACTACTTTCCATTCTCAATGGTCTCCTGATTTGTATTTCTAGATCTCTATACTTGGCGATCTTCTGGTTGTATTGAACACTCAAATTATTGGTGTTAGGTATCGCCACATCAATAAGTGTTGTTTGCCTGGTAAGTTTATTAACTAGTATGAGATCCGGTCTATTATGTGCCACTAGTTGATCTGTGAGCACAGTGCGGTCCCAGTATAGCTTGTAGTTGTCATTTTCAAGTATTCTGTCAGGGACATATTGATAATAAGGAAGATGTTCAGTTTGGAGAAGTTCCAGTTTGTCAGCTAGTTCTTGGTGGATAATCTTTCCTACTGAGTCATGGCGTTCTTTATAATCAGTTCCGACAAACGCCTGGACCCAGTGTTGGATGGTTTCTTGGGCTTGGCATCCATATTGGCATTTGTCATGTTGGATTTGAGGATCTTTAACAATATATGTAAGGTAATTTTTAGTTGGAATAACCTGATCCTGAATGACAAGTAGGAAACCCTCAGTCTCGGGAAACATCTTTCCTGATGTCAACCAATAGTTCGACGCTGTATTGTCGACATATTCTTGGCAGATCTCATTGAGATGTCGCCCATCCAGAGGTTTACTCATCCAGGTGCGCATTTTTCTTGCTTAGTTAGATGGTTTATGCGCATTTCTTGTTCCCTCAGTTTAAGCGGCGTTGTATTATCTACTGCGCAAATTGCTCGATGTAAAGTAGATGTCTGAGCCTGTACCTGAAAATAAGTTCTTAAATTAGCAATTTGTTTATCCAGTTTCGATTTAATTTGAGTCTCTTACCACTCCCTGACACGTGTTTCTTGGTCTACCCGTCATCAGAAGAAGTTTGTAAGAAGACTCAAACCAAATCGAAACGCACCGACTACTAAGACAATTATAGTAAAAATAATTACCAGAATATGCTACTAGAGGCCTCTAGTGAGGAAACATGAAGTTAAATATCGATAGCAATTAAAGTAAACTGTATAACCCAAGCTTAGTCGGTCAGATAGCTCAGCGGGCTGTGCGGCTGCCTCTCATTCGCTTCACTGTCGAATGGTTTAGTGGATGTGGGTCGAGCCCCAGCTCGGTGTACAGAAAACAAAAAGTCTAACGCAGCAGTTTAAAATTCTAGATGAATCTGCGGCTTAGACTAGGATATGCTGGGTTCTGATCGGCCTATGGTGGAGCAGTACGGCAAGAGATAAGGGCTTGCGGCTCGGTGATACTCCTCCATAGATCCCTACCGGACGGGCGTAACGCCTAAAAAACCGGATATATATATATATATATATATATATATATATATATATATATATATATATATATATATATATATATATATTATATATATATATATATATAACCCAAGCTTAATCAAGCCATTCCGAGCGATGCTGAGAATATTAAAATTCC